CGGTTGGAGCCGTGGGCGCAGTCGTTGCGGGTGCCGGAGCCGTCGGTGTTGGCGCGCAGGGCACGCGGTACGAGCAGGAGCGGCTGCTGCGCAAGAGCTGCACGCTCTACGTGGGGAACCTCTCGTTCTACACCACGGAGGAGCAGATCCACGAGCTGTTCGGCAAGAGCGGCGACGTGAAGAAGATCATCATGGGACTGGACAAAGTGAAGAAAACCGCCTGCGGCTTCTGCTTCGTGGAGTATCCTTGCGAGGAGGGGGCTGAGCCGGGGTCCTGCCCCAAGTGCCCAGTCGCTGAAGGGCCTCTGGGTGGCCTGGGAGGGAAGGGGTGAACATGGGCTACTAGGTGGAGGGGCTGCTTCTGGTAAGTTTCTGTCAGTCCAGAAGTGTAAGCTAGGCACTTATCTGGGTGGTTGGTATCCACAGCATAAGCGTATTCCAAATGCCCCAGCGAGCAGCTCTTTTTTTGTGGAAACACCTGTGAAAAGTGTCTGTAATTCTGCAGACCTGTGAAGCACTGATTTCGTAATGCGTATGTCTTCTTGAAAGTCATTTTGCCAAGTGAGCTTAATGGAGTGGCAAAAGGGGGCCCTGAGTAGAGCACCCAGGGCTTCCTGTGCCGTCTTTGATCATAGATTTTCATGCTATTAGAGATCAGCATGATGCAAAGAACTATGTAAGACCTGTGTTTCTAGTATGCTTGGACACTTGCAAATTACTTGCTTTTTTTCTTTTTTTTTCCTTCAAGCCCCGTATCTTTAGAAAAGCAATTGCTTTTAAAAGTGAGTGAGGAAGAACTTGGTACAAGCAATCACTTGCTTTTGGAGAGTATTTGGTATAAACTTTATTTTCATGTTTTGAAAATAGAAGCCTAGTTCTTTTCTTTAACATATGTCTAAGGTACTATGCAAGAGGAGATGCTGAAAATGCAATGCGATACATCAATGGAACCAGACTTGATGACAGGATCATAAGGACAGACTGGGATGCAGGATTTAAGGAGGGTAGACAGTATGGTCGTGGAAGATCAGGGGGCCAGGTAGGTTGTGGAACAGCCTTAGTTTTTAAGACACTGGTGACTCTGTCAAAACCCTTGCTTTTGAATGAACAAACTCAAAACACCTTAGGAAATAGTAACTTAAGATTTACTGTTAAAGTTAGCTGTATAAATTAAGTAATTACTTCTGAGAGCTATACTCAATTATAATGTTACCCGTGAAGAACAAGAGCTAATCTTACTTTTCCTTTCCATGCTTTCTCCTCACACTCGGACTGTTTTCAGAAATAGTGTTTGCTCTTTTGGGGAGGAAATGCTGATAAATAATCCCAGAAAGTACAAGGCTGTCATGAACACGAGGGTAACACTTAGCTTGCCCGGAGCAGAGCAGGTAGCAGTCGCTTTCACTGCTACAGCGTAAAGCTCTCCCTGTTTCATCATCTGTCTTGGTAAAGAATCCTTTGGGGCTCTGTTAAAACACAAGTTAGCTTTGTATAGTCTTCTAGGATGCTGTGTGATGTGTTTTATCTTTTGTCTGATATGTTCTGAATTGTTTTTCTTGATGTCTATACTGGATTTTTTTTTCCTCCTCCTTTGTAAGGTCCGGGATGAGTATCGGCAAGACTATGATGCAGGAAGAGGCGGCTATGGCAAGACTGTTCAATGCCAGTGAATGACTCCTCAGCCTCACAGGAGAACTAAAGCTGCACTGTAAATGTCATGAGCCATGAAATAGATCTGTTGCACACAAATTTGAGTAACTAGCAATTCACAGAAACTACTGTCAGTGTTGCTGTGGTCACTTAGGGTGTTCAATATTTCTTCCGTTTTATAGCCTAATTACACTATCAGGATCCAAAGTATTGCAGAAGTGCATTAGTACAGAGGACTTGAACAGGGTTTTAAGCATTGATATGCACAAGACTTTAGTTTCTAACTGCTGCTTTAACTCCTGAAAATAGAACCAAGATTCAACACTATGGTGCTTTCTTCCACTGGTGAAAACTTGATCGTTCTGTCACTGGATTTTGTTTACATTAGTATCACAGGGTACAGAAGAAGGTTTCTGTATGTTTCAAAGATGAAAGGAATATTTAAGGAGTCTGAAGGGGATAGAAGAGCAAATTCTAGGGAAAACTTAAAGTTGCAGATTTTATTAAGGTTACTGGAGCAGTTATGTCAATGGGTGCACTTTCTTTGTGGAGCTAGTACATATGCAGGAGGGTCACAACAAAGCAAGCTGCAGAACAGAATGAGTCCAGGAACCATAAAGTAAGAAGCAACCATAGCAGATAGCAGAAGACAGATCGTCAGAGTCTTCTACAGAGTAAAATGGAATTGCATGACATTTGTTAATCCATTTGACTTTGTGGAATGCGAAGAACAGGAAATTTTTAAGTTACAGTGCTAGTCTGGTAGTTCTCTACAGCCGTTGTGTTTGAGGAATGATATCTTCTATGTACCTACAAAGGTGTCATAGAGCCGATTTTTACAGTTACCCCTGAAAATGGAGTGTTTGAGGAACCATGTATGAAGAACAGAGATAACGGTTCTCAGAAGAGATTTTTCTAGTTGAAACTAGCTTGATTGCAGGTGAAGGTATAATAATAATAATAACCCACTTTTGAGAGCCTTACTTTCTCCTGAACATGTGGTGAGAATTATGAAATAATTGCAGGATTCCCCCCCCACCGTGAATCCTGTAACCACAGTCAGTGATTGGATTCTGTTGTACTGTAGACATAGGAAGAATAATCTGTGCTCATAATATCTGTGAAATTGGCCTGCTGGAAGATAGAGTTGGAATGGAGCTGCTATGGGTTGTTTGTTTTTATAGAATTCTTAGTTCTTTTGAAACTGCAATTCACAAAGGTTTTCCAAATATTTTATTGTTTATTTCTTCTTAAAATATCAGGTATATAAAACTTGATCTTTTCTCATTGGGGATATTTTTGGAAATATTGATGCATTTCTTGCATACAACTGTCACAATTGTTACTTTAAGTTGGAAACGCCATAAGATATTTGCAAAAAGACTTTGCTTATGTTGAGGTTTTTTTGTACATTTATCACAAAGATGTAGAGTAAAATTAGGTTTTTCTGGATTGCTTGATCCTAGTTTGCAAACAAGAGTTTTGGCAAAGTTTTTTTTTTTTTTTTTTCTTCCCTGCAAGGTGCATTTGATGATGAGTTTACAGCCTGTAATCTGCTTTAGGAAACCTGTGAAGTTTATTTTTCACTGTATCAGATTTTGTATGCAAACTTGCCTTGTCTCAAAAACTCCTAAGTCACTTTCAAATAAAGTTGCAACAGTAAAATGGATGGGTTTCAGTTTTGTTTTCATTGAAGTGTTGAGAGAAAAAAGCTGTATTTGGATTCTTGACCATATCCCTTATTCCAGTGTCTTTTAATTTGGAGAGTGTGAATAGTCCTTTGCTTTGACCAGATTTTCAGTCTTGAAACACTTTGAAAGCTGTTTGTGTAATGCTGCTCCTTTTTGTTACTTTTGAATTACAGAACAGAAATTGAATTAGTTACTAGTATTTAAGCTGATGTAGAAGTCCCTCATGTGGGGCAAGTAGTTTTCAAGATGTGCTTTGTTACAACAATGAGATTTAAAGTTATTTTTCATTGTGAGTGTTGCAAGACAGTCATTCTCATATTAAATGGTGTCTTGGCAGTGATGCAGTAGTGGAGTTTTCCCACTTTTGGTTGGTTGGTTGTGTTTTTTTTTGGCTGTTCACACTCAGCATACTTAGCAAAGACAAGCTGTCTGTCATTAGAACTGATTTAAACAGCAAGGATTTTTTTTTTTTTTATGTACCTATCCCTGTAACTGTAGAAATAAGGCAACTTACTGGTGCCACACTCTCCTGAGATTAAGTCATGGAACTAGTTTTTAAAATAATTAAAAATTAACCCTCCTCCTAAGTGATTATCCAAGCACCACAAATATTGCAAAAGAACAATGTTACCTCACAGGGCTAGTCAGAACATTTAACCTTTACCTTTAAAGACAGCATCACCCAGAACTGAAGTGATGGATATCAGCTGTAGCCCGACCACCTGCTTCATTCAACGCCGGGTACACACAAAGGAGGTCACTTCACAAAGGTAAATCCTTTGAGAAAACTGCTCCTGTCAGTTAGTACTATAACGAAAAGCTTTCTGTAAATTGTGCACACCAACAAACCGGACTCTAGGGGTAAGTCTTGAAAGTAATCTCTGCAAGCATCAAAAAACCACATTCCCCTTTGCATTTGTTATTCTGCAAGGGAAACCGAGGCAGATTAATTATATAACTACCTACCAGCAGCCACACTGCTGGGGCAGTCTCCAGAACCTCCCCTCTTAGGTTAAAGATCCCCATTAGAGATAGTCATTTCTTGACAAGCAACTTCAGAGCTAGCTAAGAGTCTAGCATCTCTTAGCATGTAGTCAGATTGTTCTATGTAGTATATAGCTATATGGAAAAATGTGTAATGATTATGTTGCATGAAGTACCTCAGAGATAGATGCTCTGGGATTTCCTTCTCCTTAATCTCTCTGCACCATCTGATGCCCTCAAATGGCAGCCGGTCTGTGCAGACTGGAATGTAAAGGAGATGAAAGGGTGGGTAGTAACTACCTTTCCTACAAAGTCAGTTGTTAGATGGGTTGAGGTGTCTTTGGAATCACCTCTGACTTGCTTTCAACTTCTTACAGCTGCATAATTTCTACACCTTCCTGGAAAGGTGTAAAAAGAAGAATAAAAAAGTCACTGCTGTTGCAAATTCTTCCAAGTGTGTGAGGAACTCCTGGCCTTTCTACTCTCTGTAAGTAGAAGGTGATTGAGACTGATGATGGTGGCTTTTGTTGTTTTGTACCTGTTAATGTTTGCAACATAGCTTTTTTTTTTTTTTTTTTTTTTTTTTCCCTCCTTGCTGCAGCATAAAGAACTTTGCTTCCTAGACTCAGTTCTGGATTGTAATGGATCTTTTGGGGCTCGGTACAGGCTCTGGGCAATACCACAAGCTTCTTCGGGGAACACGTGCAAGGAATTGCCATGCAGGTGTGTAAAGCAGTGATGAGTTCATGTATTGAGGTGCTCCATAACTCCATGGCTTAATACATGAATCACTTGGCGACTGAAGGGTCTTGGCTGCTTATCGGTTCTTTTACTGTGATTAAATTTGGCCAAAAAAGTAACCTAAGAGTGCACAATCTGAAAGACATGTAGATATGTGCACATATAAAGGTCAAGTATGAATTATTCTTGCTCTAGGGTTTTACTGCTTTCAGAATCTTACAGGAGACAAACACTTTTGAAAACCCCTTCTTGATTGCTTAAGAGCAGTAGTTCTGACTGAAAGTTTCTTGGCCTCCCAACAGCTTTCTGTTTGCTCTCTAGTGCTCTCTACTGGCTGCATTTTGATTTGTTCTCTTTCAAGAAGGTCAGCCCTCATAGCAAAATCTACCACTGTCCCAAGGGTTGTGGAAGGGGTTGAGTCAGGATGTGATAAGCCAAACTGCACAGAGAGAAATTGAATTATTTTCAGTCCAAAACAGTGCATGTTTGTGTTAAGCCTGAGTGAATGCTTGAGAAAACCACGTTGTTCAGGGCCTTGAGGCTGAGTATATTTCCACATATAAGACCATATCTTCAGTCTTTGTTTGTTTGTTTGTAGTTAGAGCCATCCCTGTGTTTTGAGTTGTTGCTGGTGTGTGTGTGGTTTTTGTTGTTGTTTCGTGAAGTGGCCTATTGATTAAGTCTTCTGAAACTGACCTTTTTTAATAAGGATGATATTGAACCACATTTTATGTTCTTTTAGCTATTATATAGTTATAACCATGTAGTTACGCTTATAGCCTTTTAACTATTAAAAGGCTATATTCCCTCAGAAGAGTTCCCTTGAAAACGAATGGGAAATAAAATCTGCTATTTTGGTATCTCTCTGCTTACATGCAACATAAATTAGCTTAATTGAATCTGCTTGTAGTAAAGTTTCTGGACAATGAAGCTTTTCCCTCTCATGCCAGTCTTCCCCTGCAGTTTCAATTTAAGCTGGAGATACTGATTTTCCTAATTGGAACAAGAGCAGGGCTTTAATTGAGAGAGATGTGTGAGAGTCTAAAGTGCATATTTTCTCTTTTTGAAAAAAATGTGCTCTGTTATTTTTAATTACTTTGAAGCTCTTTCTGAAACATATTTGGTGGCAAAAATTCCTCTTTTCCATCGACTTACATGGAAAAGAGGAAAGAGGAAAAGATTTCAGCAGACTTTGTTTCATTCCTATCAGTATAGGCATTATTATATTATTAGATACTGTCTTAAAGATATAGGTTACTTGCAGTTTGAACTGCAACATGGTGAACTTTTGTTGTTTTCCAGTTTTCTTTCATTAGTCTAAAATAACGCTCCAGTTGTTTTATCCTTTAAGTGTATTTGTACATTTTCAGGGTGAACAATGTTTCTACTTTAAGTGGAATAAAAGGTTGCTACTTTGATCATTGCCATTTGATTACAAATTGGTGTTTTTCTGTGTGTTTGAGTATCTATAATATCACTGTTTTGCAAGAGCTTTGGTTGTTTTTTATGAAAATAGAACAGAAGGCTTGTCAGCTTGTCACACTGCCACAAGATGTCATGAGAAGCCGTGTCTCGCTTCCAGATGAGTGTGCTGCGTGCATCTTGGCAATCAGTTAAGCCGAGTGGTTAATCTGCAAAGCTGCTCGAAGAATGTCATTTCACCATGTAGCTAGTGCAGTGCTGCAATTTCTGGAGGAAATGGCGTTTTGTGTCACGGAGTTAAGTCTTCTAAAGTCTTCTCTAGAGAGAAAATGGTCAAACAGCTTGAGGTTGCTTTGGTGTAGCTGCCTTGTAATCCAAAGCACTGCAGAACCAAGAAGTTCTGTGTGCAGTTTTTTTAGATCACAGAGGATACACTTTTTGTTTGTTTGTGGATTTTTTTCCCCCTTCTGATTCATTTATTCCAGAAAGAGAAGTGTTTTCCCAAGGACTGGAGGGAGCTTTTACGCATTACATCTGCAAATGCCCCAAAGAGTCTGCACATTAGCTTAGTCGGGATGCTTTTCCTTGCACACCACAACACTGTTACAATAGTTATAGTGTCACAATTTTCCTTTCTCCTATGGGTATGATTGGCACATAGAGCCTGTTTGGGAGGAGGATTTCATTAAATTATGAGAATTTAATGTTTCATAAATGTATAGACATACCTTGTAAAACTATTTTAAAAATCTCTTTAAAAATAATCATTATTACCTAACATTGATGAATGTGTTGTAGCCAGCACTGCTTTGACGGTATAACTTACAGTAGACATGTGAGAGTGCGACTGTAGAGAAAGGGTGGTGGCAAAGGCCAGAAATAAAGCATCATTTTCTGTTCAGTCTCCTTTTTAAACGAAGGAAAGGTATGCCTCATTTGTAAGGATTATATTGTTGCTTTTCAGACATGATTCAAGGATACATTCTGAAAGAGGGAAAGCATAAAACATCTCTGTGTCATTAGAAATTCTAGTTCAGTTTGAAAAGAAGATTCTATTTTTGTACCCTGAAGCCTGTAGGTTGCGAACAGTATTTCCATTCATGTGAGAACAAAGGTAAGAGCAGTTATCTGTCCGTGGAGCAGCACAGTCCTTGGGCACGTGTAGAGACCGCCCGTTAGCCACACAGCTGCCAGGGCAGGAAGGGCAGCTCTGGCTTAATTTAAGCATGAGTTTTGATGCAGTTGAGCGTAGACCATCAAGAACAGAAGTGTCGTGCTCTGGCTTACCGCTGTGTGTCAGTAGCTGTTTGATAACTTGAGCAAGGGGAAATATCTGCCCCAGAGGCGGGTATTTAACTCTCACAGCTGCTGGGACTGCACCACAATTTGTTCTTGTGTGTATAGTTACCTGCCTTGTATGTTAAAGAATCTGGAATTTGTGTAGTGCTGCCTTTGTCAGACCCTTGTAACCGTGATCCGTGTGAACCGTGATTCCCTCCATAAATGAGCTGATATCTCTGGTTGGAGATATTAAATCTCAGTCCCTGGTTGACCTGAATCAAGCAGAGAGGGAAAAGTTTTCCCTCTCTAAGAGGGCACATCCTTCCCTCTTAGGAAAGATGGATCCTTCCTTTCTTAAGGAAGTGGGGGGAAAGGACTCCCATTCCCTCTGCTTTAGTGACCTAGTAGGGAGTATGCCAGGGCTACAGAGTCTTTTTTTTTCTTTCTTTTTTTTTCCTACAAACGTGGTTATGGTTAAAAATATTCTCACATGCTACAGAATTGTGGTGTGGGTTTATAAGTGTTCAAAGTGAAGACTTGGTTTACACTGTGCAATTAAAGAAAAATCACAGATCATCTGTGAGGTTGGTTCTATTTATATTTTTACATCTGTAAAATATATACTGTTCCATTGTGGGTAATTTTGTTGTTAGAAAACAGGAAAAAGATTCTGTTTGGAGAACACTGAAAACTTTTCTTTCAAGTTACTAAAATGCCCACCTTTTAAACACGTTAACAAATGCACCCGTATTATCCATATAGTGGATTTTTATTTCTTTCCGTGTCTCATCTGGTTCTCTGTAAGCACTGGTTCAGACTGAGAAACTGGTTCAAGGTAAGCAATTGTAATGCTGTCTTTGAAAACGTATCATCAGTCAATTTTGCGTGTTGGAGTTTCAGCATTTCTGAAAATGATGCTGCAATATGAGCATGTGACTTGTGGCTGAACCTTTGCTTCTGCTCATTGAGCGTGTGTGGGTTTTTTTGTTTATTTTTTGTTTTTTGTTTTTAACACGTCCTAACAGCCTACCTGCTACCAGAATGTTCTTTCATACATAAAATTCTCCCATATATTCTTTGTTTTGTGTTTCTGGTTGCACAGATGATATATCACTTTTAGTTGCTTTTACTTCCTGCCTCTGTGTAGTTGCCTAGCAGTGGTAGTGAGTGCCTTTTGTGCAAGAGGCACAGAGAAGTTGCATATCACTGGTTTATTGGGATTTGGCTTTGCTAATATAGCAAGTGCCTGCCACGTCCTGCCTAAGTGGGTCACAGTTTTAAGTTATCTGGGGTGACAATAACATTGCTGGACTTCCTGGGTGAAATGACTGCTGTGCAGACCTACTCCTAAGTTGTATTTCTTTGGTTGCTTGGACTCTTACACGGAATCTTCTTAGAAATGAATAGTGCTGGGCATTAACCATTCACCTTGTAATCAGCTAAGGCCTATAATGATTTCCAGTATTAGACAATTGTTTTAGTTGGGAGAATTTCTTGGTTGTTATTAGTTGAAATCACCTAAAATATTTTATCCTCTGGGTGATTTATTTTCCTGTCTCATGTGACATGTTTGGCTCTGGTCAGGATGTTCTGCTTGCATCCTGTTCTGTTTATTATTAGTAGTGTTGCTGATCCTGCCCCACTTTGGTTTCCACACAGGATGCCCTTTGTCTTCGCTGGTACGTGCTACTTTCACACACAGGCACTGTTTCATCACCGATCAGGAACAGATGGATCAGTCGCATGTCTTGAGGTCTAGTTTAATGTGACTGCTGCTGGGCTAATCAGAGTGGGCTAGTAGTCACCTTCCTTTCTTTTTCTTTTCTAAATATCAAAGTTTTAAGTTGAACCTAGCCCCTTCTGCTAGTTGTTACACTTACCTTCTGGCTTCTTGCTTGTTCTCAGGCAGTGTACCAGTGTGGGTGGGTTGCAGGGATTTGACTAAATGGAAGCAATGTTAATACAGTGCGTGTGTATTTGCCAAGAACACACACTTCTGTTCCCTTCCACAGAGACAAGGAGGAGAGTGCTTAGCTTGGCGCTAAGATGGTTTGAATTCAGTGATTTTCTTGGAGAAACCTTTTCTCTGTAAGATGAACTCTGCTTTGAGTGCCTCACTTAGGGACCTGTCAGCTCTAGCATTATTCCAGGGGTGCCAATGGACAGAGGAAGTCCCTAGGCAGAGCTTCCAGCAACAGCAGGGCCATCAGCCAGGCACCATCTTGACGTAAGAGTTTTTGGGGTTTTTTTTCCCATCTTTCTGCAGACCGTGTTCCAGATGCTAAACAGCATTAACAAATGCCAGGCACATTTTCTGCAGCTGCACAAGAAGGCTGCCTGGTGGCTGTTTATCACTCTGTGTGACCCAATGAGACCCACATTACCTGTACAACAAACTGGTCATAAGGGAATCATTTTGCACAGCTTCTCTCAAAGGAAGTATTGAATCATTTATTGCTGAGCTTGGTCTTTGTGACTGTTTATTATGCACCTGCTGATGACAGTAGAAAAATGTGGGGCTCTAAGAAGTAGCAGGACTCTGAGAATATTTGGGGAAATACTCCTGTGGTGAGTGAGAGCACCTTAAACTCTCACTTAGAGGGTAGTTTATAGCACTTCATTTGATTTATCATGCCTTGGTCTTCAATGTTCAGGATTTATAAATATCCAGCTTAAATAATGAGTTCATTTAGGACTAGTGGTGACCTTGGCTGCAAACTAGGAATTTTCAGTAATGGATAGATCAAGGAATTGGCAGTGTGTGATTTGAAGAAGTTTATAAGAACGTATAAGCTATTTTGGAAAAACATGAAGGAACTTTTTCTTTTTACCATGGTCTTTAAGGCAATGAATTGTTGGATGATTCTGCTTCGCATTCAGGCTATGTAAGCACTAGTGCTCTGCCTATCAAGTCTGTATAAAGATCATTTGAATCATTAAAGCAACCTTAACCTTGATTAAGATGCTTGTGCAGATTACTTGAATCTGGAGATGAAATTGGTCATGCCTCCTTGTCCCCCACGCCTCTAGTTGTATGTCCTAGATCCATTTTACAATTAAATGTTTCATTTAACATTTATGTCTTCTGTGCCGTATTCATTACTGAGATATGCACTTAAAGAGTTTTCATCTCTCTTCTGGTAGATTTTGAGTTTTCTTTTTAATAAAGGAAGGTAAAGTCTTCATACTGCAAGTTTTATATACATCACCACTCTTGAAAGGTAAGTTAATCTCCTGGATCAAAGCACATGGTCACATTGATCTAAATGAGCTGCGGCAGGGAAGAATGTGGCCTACAGGAGGCTTTCTGAAAACACTGGTCTTTTCACACAGCTTCTTTTAAGTAGAATTTAGATTTTTATTGTGATTGATTATGCAGTGGAAAATATTTGCTGATTCTCTCTGCTAACTTGTAACTGTGTTCATTTTTTTTTCTCTAAATTTACTAACTGCACACATTAATTCAAGTGTTATCCATTTCAGTTCCCTCGAAAGGCAGAGAGCATTAAACTCTACATGGTCAAGTCTCTAAAGTCTCACTACTTTAGACAAGATGTGGTTCATTTTAGTTTTCTGGAGAGCAGTAGTACAATCTGCTGGGGTAAATGCCTTTCTGTGCCTCTGTTTTTCTCAATGTTGTGCTGATGATGCAGTCAACAGATGTGTAGGCTTATTTATTGTTTAATGCAATCATGGGAGTAATTTTTCAAGCACTTTGCGAGTCATTAGCAGTGAAATACCCAGATGATTACATATAAAAAACAAATATTGAGTCAAATCTTGTGAGGAGAAATAATTTAAAACTTACATTTAAGGACCTGGATCTGAAAAAGTAGGCAAGTGGATAGACAGGCGTACTTTTTTAGAATGATTTATCTGGCTTTTCTTCTTGACTATATCAGTTGCTTTAATGAAATATATAATTTCTCTCAACCCATTTACAGTTTTATTAAGCAGTTTTATTGAGTTTCATTTTTTAGTATATGATGGACTTAAGATATGTCTAAGTACCAAGTAAAGCAGAAATAAAACCCCATTGTTAGGAAGGAATAAAGAAGATGCCTCTCTGAGAAAGCTTTAATAGTTTTTTAGAACTCCATTCTAGTACAAGTGGTCAAGGACGTAATTGGCAAGATATTTAACAGCAAGAAGAGTTTCCTCACAGGTTGGCTTTATCTGAGATTCAGGAAGAAGAAAACCGTATCTTCCAGTGTCTCGGAGCTCAAAGGTGAAAGAGTACTTGATGCCTTGGTCAAAAGCCCAGTCGTCAGAGCCCCCGGCAGCAGGATCTATAGATAAAGAATGGAAATAAAACTTAGTTGGAAAAACTTAACTATCACATAAATGTGATATCTCTAAGAGCCAAGTTGCTTAGTGAGAAAAACAGAAAGGACAGATGAACAGAAATATTCCAGGAGCTGTTGATTTCTTCTACTCATGGAAAGCTTCCATGATTTAGGCCGCTTGAGAGCTCTGTTCCAGCTAATGATAGATGCAAGCAACCAGAGAAACGGGAGAATGGCAAGTTTGCATGGAACTGCTCAGGGAATGTTGGTCACAGAGCAAATACTGTCTCACTGGCTTCTGGTACTCCACCTTTTTCTTCAGAAAGAATGGTCTCCTCCATTTCCAGAATTTTAGTGCAATGAAAGCAGTCTCTTTTGCTAACTGTAGTGTCTCCAGCATTGCTAAGCATCACTAAAACATTCTGAGAGGATTTGCTCCTCAAATCTGATTTATTTATATATATATATATATGTGTGTGTGTGTGTGTGTATGTGTATATATATATATAAATATATATAAATACAGTGCTTATAGTGCACATATAGTGCTATATATAGTGCACATATAGTGCATATATTGCTATATATATATATATATACATAAAGTGCTTTTTTTAGGTTCTTAAAAAGAAAAAGGAATGGGGAAAGAAATTGGGTTTTGTGTATATGGAAAATAAGAAATCCTAAATATAGGAGAGAGAAAAGCTCTAGAAAACTAGATTTGGCAATCTCAACTCAGCTGCTGTGATAGCAAAAGCCACAATTCGGCAGCTGACTTCCAAGAACAGTACAAGAATTGAATTGTGATCAGTAGATGGCTCAGACCATTATGCAAAATAAAAGAAATAATTATCTGTGTCAAAGGCGGTCTTTAGAATTCACATTGTGTTTTTGCTTTGACTTGAAGACACTGGTCGTGCACAAAACCTCAGGGTGAACAAGCCTGAATAAGCTCAAGACTTTTATGTTTTAATCTAAACTGTGTGTGTTTTAAGAATTCCATCTATGCACATCACTGCCTTATAGGGATCACTCATCTCCATGATCCTAAAGGCGTATATACCAGGCTATATATTAGAACTGAGTTTGCCTACATATCTCTGGGAATGCTTATGAAAAATGAAACCATCTGCTTAGCAAGAGTAACAGTAGCCACTGGAAAATTGCATTTAATAGCCCTAGTAGCAATTAGTAGAACTTACTAATATATTTAGGCCAGTACTTACAGATAGTTTCAGCTCCTGGGCCGTATATATATTCGGTGTTATACAAACTAGCCAGCTGTTTGGTTGCAGTTGCAGAAATGGAATTCTGTAGGTAAAGAAAAGTGGTAAATGCAGCTTTGCAGAAGCTTTCTGAGTGAATTTAAGCAAGTGCATTGATGAATAAATTGAATAGCCATATTTGAGTTGTTGTTGTTTTGAAGCTGTTGTCTGCCTCTTGGAATGACCGGGATGTTGGTAGCTACCAAGGCACAGCTTGTTCTGTTGCTGTGAGAACAGTGCTCAGCAAAGAGCTCGCTCTCCAACTCTCATGGAGAGGTACCCAGCCTGCAGAGCTAAGGTGGGTGGAAAACAGGAGCTTCCACATTTTAGAAGAAACTTGTACAAAACTAAGACTAAACAAGAAATCTATAAAATAGTGGTAACTCAGTACATTAAATGTGGACTCACAACAGGCCTTCTGTTCCTCCTATGCATGCAGCTATAAATTCAGAGCAGAGCCAGTTTAGTCAGTGAAGTTGAACGTTGATACCCGTGGAAACAGATTAAGGTCTTATAAATAGGCAGAAAAGAATAAATTACCTTGAAACCATGTGTAGTCTCATTAATTTCAATTCATTTCCTGTGCATAGAGGGACTCATCCAACTCCCACTGATTTCATTGAGGGTTGGATCAGGCCCATCGTTGGCACTATGGAACTTTGTATGCTTGCATTAAGGATAATTACAGACTTTTCTTTGGAACATGTGGCTTTTCCAGTTCTTCATAGTATAGCATGTTGGTAATAAAACGTAAAAACTATTACTAACAGATGATAAATATGAATGATTTTTGAAAACAGATGTTCAGTATAGAAATAAGGAATGGATTGTCCCATCTCTTTATCACTTACAGCTGAACGGTGTACTATTCCAGGAATTTCCTCAAGCCCCTTCTGTAATTATGTGCTGGATTACTTCCCAGTGGCTGAGATATTGTAAAATATTCTCTATTTCTCCTTTGGTTTTGAGTGTTTGTGTGAATTACTCAAGAAGGTATTGGGCAATGTGTTTAGCAAAATTGCAGTTTACTGAGAAGGCTTTCCTGGATTTTAGAAAACACAAATATGTTGGATTAACACTGGAAGCCTAGTTATCACAGGGTTGCACATGTTTCCCCATTCCCAAATAATGGAGACGCACAGTATTCCTATTGGATTTTGAACAGCCAGCATTTTGGGAGCTGCTTTGAGGAATGTGGGCAATTTTTCATATAAAGAATACTTAAGCAAGGCTGGCCACAGTGTGTTTGAAGCTTATCCTTGCATCTCTAAAACTGTCTGTATCTGGCTGCTGGATTTGTTCCTGTCCTCTCTATTGTCCGAACACAAATGATGGCTGTAGGAGGAAAGCTGTTACTGCATGTTTCACAATCTTGGATTCAGAGCAGTGGGGATAGTTGAGCTCTCTCCACTCTCATTAAAAAAAAAACAAAACAAAACAAAAAAACTTTAGCAAGGTGAGTCTTTTTAAATCCATAATAGTTTTCAACACATGTTGAGGGAATTGCAGAGGATGGAAACTGGTATCTATTAGCGATACCATGTTTTCATTTTCTATCTATTTATATATACTCTTTAATCAGTCACTGAGATTAAGAGTAAAATTTCTTCTCAATAGTAAATCCCTTTTTAAATATGCAAACTGATTCTTTCTCTTTCAAATTTAGGCAAAATGGAAATTAAACTTGGAAAAATACCCTCATACTATGCTGGGAGTTCATGAATAGTAGTTGTTCTCTACTTCGTAAATTGTATCTTGGGAACAGCAGAGTTGCTTTTAGGGAAAAAAAGTGGTATGCCAAAGGACAGCTTTAAATCATTTGTTACTTTCTCTGCCAAATTTAGAAGAATGGATACTGGAAAGTGTATGTCACGAAATCTTTTTACCTGAGGGATTTTTTGTTTTGGGCCAGGAAGTTGTAAAAAGAAAGATTTGTAGAGAGAGGGGAGTTGAAATTTCCAGCTGTTAAGACCCTGGAATCCAAATAAACAGCTTCCTTAAGGTCTCCAAGTTGGGGATTTGCGATGATATTGGAAATGACCCCTTCCAATAAGTGAAAGATGTGACTGTATGTTCATGACTTCATTATGAAATGAGCTTGAGTTTTGATATCTGATCTCTTCTTTTATTATGTGACTCTATCCCAAATAGTTTCTGAATTTATTTATAGTTCAAAACTTATGACCCAAAGTCAAGTTGGCTTTCTAGGAACTAAAGTTACCTTTTCTTCACAATATAAAACAGCTGAAATAATAAAAAGGGAGTAAATACTACCCAGTCTCAATGCAAAATGTAAAAAAAAAAAAAAAAGTGGTGCAATGAAAAATAGTGCAAAGTCATCCTTACAGAGGAAATTACATGGAGACTTTTGTAGAGGTATCCAAGTAATATCCATCATTTTCCAAAAAGTGCTGTTTATCCTTTGAGACACAATTTGGACTCTCATGCCTGAATATTATTTAGAAAACAGCTGCAAGGAGAGTCATGTCTATCTTCTTGACCTGTGAAGATACTCTTTACTCCTGACTGATTTTCAAAATCCCTGTGTGTAACTAGTTTAGCTAGTTCTATGTTTTGGAGCTTTTTTGACTGTCAAGAAATCCTTTTGTGAGGGAAATTCTGCAGAGACTTAAACTAGCAAAGAGCCAACTGGCATCCTAAAGCCCTAGAAGCAACTCCAAGTTAATGCCTTTTAACTGGGAGCAGAAATGGCTTTTCAGCTTCTGACTTGCAGCTGAACTTGCAGAGCTGGTTGTTTCCGCAGAAGGTAGTATTCCCTGGGCTGATGATTTGTGTTTATACAGCAGTTCCTAAAATTTTGCTTAATCTTGTGTACCGAGTGCACTGGCCAGGGAGACAGTAGAGTCATGTTCTCAGATGTCATTGTTTTACATAATTTTCACCCTTTAAACCTATCTTTTTAGTTGCAAACTTTTAATAGAGCAGGCCAGTATGTATTTTTCACACCATATCTGGAGGTTTGAGCTAATAAGATATTTTATCCATCTAACCATCTTCTGACTGTTAATAGGTTTTTTTTTTTTTTTTTTTTGCGGAGCAGCTCTCTGGTCTTTGTATTTGCCCCAGAAAATTGCAGCTGTTTAGAAACACCCCAGGGACCTTGATTATGTGTCTGCTGCATGCAGGCAACTCCCTTTGCCATCATACTCTGGCAGGCACTAGAGGAGTGTGGTTACTGACTGGCTGGAACTATCCTGCTCTCGGTCTCTTCTCCTCTTTGGATTGCAAACTAAATTGCCTAAGGCTGAAAACTCTACTTGTCTTGCTTTACCTTCAGCGAAGTGAGTTTTCTGAGGCTTCTTGTGCTGCCAGTAAAGACAGATGCACCTCCAAGGAGTGCATGTGATGGTTAATTTAGTTCCCTATTCTGTTGTTAAGCATCTGTCCCAGGAGTCTAAAGAAACCAGCCAACAGGATGACTGTTTCTGGAGTGCTATCCTGCTTTCTTGCAAGCCTGTTTCTAAACATCATCTTTCTATCTGCTTCAGTGTTTGCTATGATTATTATTGATGCAGTTTGATGACTCTATTTACTTGCAGCAAGTAATGCAATTGGGAAGGAGTTGGAAACAGCAGAGATACGACCACAACTCTTCATTTGCTTTTCTGTGTCTCTTGGATGATAGAATTTTTGCTATTCAAAAGTTCCTTACTGAAGGTATTCATATATCTTAAGGCATTCAAGGATAAAATCAAGAGCGAAAGGACTTTGCTCCCAGGCATTGAGTTAAATAATCAGACTAATAGTCAGTTGTGCAGTATGTTTAAAATTCACCTTTCCTGCAGGCTGCACAGACTCTGGGCATGTTTCTGATTTATCCCATGTTCTATTTTAAAGGCTCAAGAGGAAATGAAATGATAGATCAACCCAGTACAGAAGGTGAGTTTCAGTTATCTTAAGCAATAACCAATGCGGACAGTATGCTTAAAGTAGCACAGACCGAAATCCTGTATCCAGCAAATTATCCTGGGTTGCAAATTAATAATATTCTGTAGTTTATCCAACAGTTACAATGCTAATATATAATTAACAATGAGAATGAACTAGCTGCAGAGGTGTATTTGGCACTGAGTTTGTTGTTTAACTGAGAGATGTAATTGAATCTGGAAAGAAGGGAAGAGCATGATGTGTTTTCCTCTATCCAGTCATAGTTGAGAGCCAATTCCAATACAAGCAAGAACTGAGAAAAATAGATTTATTTTGGCAGAAAATTAGGAAAGCATAGAGTGACCTAATAGGAAACTAAAGCCAAAATATGAAATAATTAAAAATATGGCTGAACTGTTTATCAAAAATGTTATTAGGTAGAAAGGACTTCATTCCAAGAGGAAGAAAACAAAAATAGTAAAGGAAAAGAATTTTGCTGGGTGCAGAGAGATGCTACTCTTGGCAGAATTGTTTAATTGTGAAGCACTAATGCTTCTGTTCTCTCTAGGAGATGGATTCAAGTATGCTTTCTCTGTGCAGAGTAACACCCAAGGGTATAGTTTAAAAAAAATGAGTCAGAGGATTGTGAAGCAGGCAAAATGTACTTTTTTTGTGGTGAATCACTTATTTCTTTCAGGGAGTCATCATGGGTATATTGTGTAACTTCTGAGAAATTCATGACCTAGATTTTTCTGTCTTGGGTGTTTATTGTTGTTCAAGTGTTGTTTGGATAACAGCGAAAGTTTGTGTGCAACTTCCCAGGAGAGAAAAACAAAATCCCTGCACACATGCAGAAAAGTTTTGTGGAAATCCTCGTGAGGATCCCAAAGCTGCTCTTGCATGTGAGGAAAAGCGACATGCATGACTTTTACCCTCTTTTTTTACTCTTTTTAAAAATTCTGTTTACTTTTTCCACTCTCTTACAGAGAGAGGCGCTGGTTGAGGGATAGTTCTAATCCTCCCTAAGTAATTTACTCAAAGTAAATTACAGTAACTTTGAGGTTGTTCTGCTCTGCCATAGCAGTGGAGTGGAGAGTATAGGACCTCCGGGATTCCTAGAATACCCTTTTCTACCTGACAAACCAGAAACAATTTTATGCCTTCGGTGATTTTTTTTTTTTTTTT